TATGTACGAAATAGGAAAGGATCAATGTGAGTTTCATTTTAGAAAACTGTTATGAAGATTGCTGTTGTATATTATAGCTTCCACTAATCTCTAAATGTCAAAAGCGAACAACTCACACTATCTCAATTGTTAGATTTTCCAGCGCTGCGTCATCATCTATGACTCAGTTACGAAAGGCATCGCGAGCTTCCGCACACGCCCTGCAGAAAGCTAGCACACGACTGTCCGTTCAGGATATTTTGTCACTACATTCAAATCATTCCTCGCGTTCAAAGCAATCTATAGTGATCGAGGATTTGCCGTCCCCTATACAGGTAATAGAAAACTAGATTACAGGAGCTTTCAAAGCACGGGATATTAAAAAAGATGTGTACTGTTTGGTCTTTGAAAAAATGTTATCTCCAGATTCTTTGTGGACCTTGATGATTCTCGTCAAAGCGTTAACTTTAACTTAAATTTGCGCTTATAAAAAGAATTTATAACATTGGCGTCACGGTAGATATTACCGTGTGAAGTTGCTGATTGGTCTAGAATAGCTTCACACAAATCATCATATTTGGGCTTGCGTTCTGAACAACCACAACAGAGAAGTTTCTGCGTTTCTGGAATTATCTTTGTACCGATGCTAATAGCGCTCCACGTCAACGCTGAAGCCATCTAAAAAATAGGTGGAAATCTTAGTTTGTGCCAGCACTTCAAACCATAGAGGCGGTGTCCCAGCAAGACTATGAATTTTGAATTCCTATCAGATACTGATGCTGACTCTTTCACTAAACTATTCCCCGAACCCGAGAATGATTTGCTAATTTTGAGAAAGATCATATTATTTGCCCATATATGATTATATTGGCTATTCCTAGTTGCGAAGTATCTCTCAATTTTAGGAGCAGACAGATGACGAAGAAACATCATCGTCTGAAACTACTGGAACTGCAAATAGCTGTCGGTACCTTCCTCCAGGTGAGGAACTTCCGTGCCTCTGCAAATACGATGCCGAAGGAAATATTCGGGTGATGAAAGCGCTGTGTCCGGTTCACGGATTTATGGTCAGGAGAAACTACGATTACAGGTCAGCCAAAGTTCGTCAGATTTTATAAGCGACTGAACAATTCCTTTCAGCGTTTCCAACAGCGATGAGGACGCAGCGGAAGACGACGAGGTACATAAGGAAGAACCTTACTTTCCAGAACCATACGTACCTAGAAGGTTCATTTTAACAGCCAGCAGCTTGAGCATGCTGCTTCTAGATCAAACTTTTTGATTTTCTAACATCTTGTGTCCCTTCCCAAGGTTTAGTCGTGTGGCACGCATGATAGGATTCTCGAGATACTCCAAAGCAAAATTCGGAGATAACTTGTGATGCTTCAGGAGCAGTTCTATGAAGAAGAGGAAGGATAAAAGGAGAACGGGTGGAAACGGACGAACGTCTGATCAAAGCTCAGCGCCAAAGCCGCCAGACGAGCCATAAAGACGTAGCAAGAGCACGAGGACGCAGCTCAAACTGCACATATCTCTTATTTAATGATTTGATGTTTCAACTTCATACCCTCCAAGGAGAATCTGTGATTGTTTTCTTTTCTTTCTTTCTACATAAATATAACTGTAAGCAATAATGTAAGGGAGATGGTTACCTTTATGATGTTTTCCATTGTTTCGCTGCCCATGACGACGAAGTTCAGCTTATGAAGCCCATCGTGCTGGAGAAGGTACATAGCTACAACGGGTAACCCGAAATCACGCTCCCAAATTATTTCTCCTGAAAATTTCTTACTTTCAACCACTTCTAAAGTTTGCTGCCACACAGATAGATAACACAAGTCATAAATGAGGGTACAATAGGAAAATATTTAAATTCCAATGTACTCCTTTAAAAATTGTCAATGTTTAAAGGCCAAAATTTGACAGCGGATTAACAAATGTTATACAAAGGGTACATTTCACTGTTTCGCACGAACCGATAACTCGCTTCCAAAAGAATACTGCGTGATCGGGTACGCTTAGATCTACCCCCA